TGTCTGTCTGTCTGTCTGTCTGTCTGTCTGTCTGTCTGTCTGTCTGTCTGTCTGTCTGTCTGTCTGTCTGTCTGTCTGTCTGTCTGTCTGGATATAAGGCTATTTAACTAACGAAGGAATGAAATACTTTTTTTTTCAATCAAACGTCCAAAGCCTTTGACTCATAGTATTATAGGTTTATCATGAAGACAAAAAGTACCCCCCCCCCTTGAAAAAAAGAAACAAACAAAACAATAAGTACCCACAAAAAAGCAACAAAGACACCACTCTTCCCCCTACCTCCACCCCCCCCCCAACTAAAAAGAGTTGAAAGCCACGTAAAACGTGTTATCTGTTACTTCACAGGTACGCCACTGGCCGGAGCGTCCCAGTAGCAGACACGCAGCAGAACGTTGAAGTGATCAGCTCCGTACGGCTGAACGGTGTGTCCACCTTTGTCTTTAAACGACTCGTCTCAACCGGAGATGACGCGCAAGACGTCCGTCTCAATGGCAACGGAAACGACGCCAGCTGTCCGTTCGTGATGTACGCCAGGACAGGCTCTGTGGATGCTCAAGGTAACCCTGGCAAGCACGTGAATGTGCCGGTGAGAGTTGGCTCAAGAATCTGTTTCGGCGTGTGCTCTCAGGACGATGGAGCTTCGACCCAGCCACCGTCCACTACGGCTGACCCGGAGGTTTATATTGTGGTCCCTAGCTCGATCCGTCTGACGCGGTACGAGTACTCTGAAGCCAGCTATGGCTCCCTGGATACTAACGTGGCCCGAGAACTCAAGAGGGTGGTTGAAAATAGTGTAAGTATTGAAAATAGTGTAAGCATTAAAAATAGTGTAAGTATTGAAAATGGTGTAAGTATTGAAAATGGTGTATTGAAAATGGTGTAAGTATTGAAAATAGTGTAAGTATTGAAAATAGTGTAAGTATTGAAAATAGTGTAAGTATCCGGTGGATTTTGTTGTAGCTTCTTTCTTGTTTGCTTATCATACTTCCCCCCTTTTGAGCTTTTAACTGTTGTTCTCGTTGCTGTTTAGATTGTCATCGTCGTTATCGGTGTTGTTGTTGTTGTCGTCATCGTCATTGTCATCGTCGTCGTCGTTGTTGTTGTTGTTGTTGTTGTCGTTGTCGTTGTCATTGTCGTTGTTGTTGTTGTTGTTGTTGCTGTTGCTG